GTTTGCTTCTTGTCGTTGATCTTATCGTTCAGATCCTTCAGCACATCCACCAACTCGTCGGTGCTCTGGAGGCGACTGTTCTCGTCGTTCACTTTGTTTAGAGTCATCTCTTGCATCGAGAAGTAGCCGCTGATCCCCTTCTGCTCCTCCAATGCCATCAATCTAGCGGTGATCTCCTTGTCTTTGCCTTTCAAGAGGTCCAAAGTGTACCTTGTCTGCCAGTGAAGACACGCCTCAAGGCGGTTAAGCAACGCAAAGTCAAATATAAGTAACGAAAACAGCGCGTTACATAAGTGCTTAACAAAATTGACAATAAAACGCCTGTTTTAAGTTAAGAATTAAGTTTTTTTTGGTAGTAATCTATAAGGGAATGGGTGGTTAGACCACATACTGCCTGTCCTTTGAGCGGTTGGTCACCGTCTTTGAGTCCACTCCTCTTGGTTTTAAGTATTTTCTCCAAGTCTTTCAACTCGTGTTCCGCTTGTTTGACGGAATCCGACGTCACCTCCCGTTTCTTCGCCACATCCGCAGCCTTACCATTCATTATATTCATTGATATTTGAGTTTTCAAGTAATTAAATTGATTTTGTCATACATTTTGCCGAAACAAAGCCATTTTGTCGGCCATCGGGTCGTTGTTAAGCATCTTATTCTCGACGATTGTATTGATCTCTCTATTCAGCGCCTGTATCTGAATCTGAAGTTTGTTTAAGTAATCGACATTATTATGAAATATATCATTTATTTATATTTTATTTTCTATTCATTTCGTAAGTTTCAAAGTAATTCTGTTTTGTAATTGTTTGTCAAATGACAGAAAATTATTCTTATTTTTGTATCTAGATATTTTTCATACAACTTATGGCAGAGGTTTGTCATGTGATGTAAAATTATTACATAACTAATATCAAAGTACATAAAAACATGTTATGAAATTGTAATTGTATTATAAATTGCTAGAAACGGCAGAAAATACAATAGAGATATACGACAACTGCACGAATATTCTGATCAAACCCGAGGTTTTAAATGTAGTGAGAAGTGGACAGTCGTATGNAAAGTACATAAAAACATGTTATGAAATTGTAATTGTATTATAAATTGCTAGAAACGGCAGAAAATACAATAGAGATATACGACAACTGCACGAATATTCTGATCAAACCCGAGGTTTTAAATGTAGTGAGAAGTGGACAGTCGTATGGAAACAGGACATGCGATACCATCATACAGACCACTCCCAGTAACCGGACACTCACTTATCAGATCCACTACAAAAACAATGATATCGTCAATCAAACCATTAATACCACGACCTTTGCATCCATTAGTAATGGTAATTAAATAGGAATATTCTTTACATATAAAAAATAATTACAAGTAATATACCACTTCATAGGATATCTAATATTGACCGACAGTGCCGTCATAACTACCGGTCCCCTGTCAGGCAAAACCTACTATGCCATCAGATATTACAATAACTCTGACTTTTATGAATGCAATAAAGAGCCGGGTCTACAGAATTTGCGTCAATTATATGGCATTTTATATTTCGTTCGCACAAACAATCTGAACGGACTGTTCAGTTGTACCGGCTCTGGTTTCAACCGTTTTCACCCTGGTATTCTGTTCGCTTATGTTGATTCTGAGAACTCCATGAGTTGGATACAGTCTGGCAAACAGTTAGCAATGGACTTCCTTCCCTACCTATACTACCCGTAAAAGTGTTGATTTATTTTTATAAATTTTAAAATAATCATTTCATGAAAACAAAAACATTTATTATAAAATTGTCTCGATTCGTGGGTATTTCAGTATCATTGCAAAAGTTTGAAACTTATTTTCAACTCAATTAGACCACAATAAGCATCTATCGGTCTATTGAGTGACTAATAAAATTTTTTAATCAAATTATCAAAAATAAATACTTATAAAAAATAAATTTAACCCACAGCTTTTAATATAAACTTTTCATTTGGAAATTTTTTTAAAGGTAATCTAAAATAAATAAGATAGTTATAAAAATACATTGATAACAATATAATATTATAATTTTATTAAAACCACAACATCTTGATGATTAGCTGATTAGCTGGGGATTGTCCTAATTGGGATAATCGGTTACCTATATTACATAATATAGAAAATAATAAATTATTATTGTTCAACTAAACTGAATTAGAAATAATGGTTTTTGTAATAATTTGGTAAAATATAAAATGACAATTTCTCTTAAAAATAATATTCATTTTAATGGCACAAAACATTTCAAGAATTTAAACATTTAAAATAAACATTTTCTTTTTGAATATGACCATTAAATATGTTTTTGAAATAATAAAATTCAGAATATATAAATAGACCTATTACATTCAAAAAACTATTTTCTTTTTTAAAAAGATTATTTAACATATGCCATATTGTACATATTATAATATTATTCATATTATCATTTATTAAACAACTATAGAAATGTTTAATAATATAGATTTATCACAACCCATACCCCCTGAATGGCGTGTAAGGGGTGCTGACAGTCATCTCTATTCAATCGGTTTATCATTATTTCAACCGAAATCTCATTTCAAAAGGAAATGGTTTTCTAAGCCATATTTTGTTTGTTTTATAATATTTCTTAATTTAATTGAATATATTATTTTATTTTATATTAACCACAAGAATATAAAGTTTTCACAACTATTTCATAAATTAATGTGTAACTTTGATTATTTATTAGGCACTGGTATAATATGTACAACCATTCTTATTATGATGGCTATATTTTGTATAATGTGTATATTATTAAATTACTACAACTATATGAATGGTATAAAATCCACGGATTTGAGAGTATTTGAAATGATTAGTGGATTCATAGCACCAAAAAGTATTGGTTTATGCGATAAAGTTATGGTTTTTAAATTATGTACACAATTCTCGAGATTAATAAAATTAGTTAAATATTTAATATATTTTATTATTGTGGCAGATATATTAGTTTTAAACTATTTGTTTAATATAAAAAACATAATTCACTTTATGATACATCAAATAATCAAAATAATACCCATGACAATATGGGCTAATTACTTATATAGTGTACTTATTTATCAATTATTATATTATTATATTATCGTTTATTATTTGAAATACAAATTAATTTCTATTAACGCATTCATCAAGGAACTTGCACAAAATAACAATAAAAGAAAAAACAATTTGTTTATAATAACAAAAATAATTAGAGATCTATATGATACATATTTGCAAATTAATGAATATAACAATAATTATTGGTCTAAATATTTACTAATTGTATGGATAACATTTGGTACTATTATTAGTTTTGTGGGTTATTTGGCTTTTAATAGTAATGTTACAATAATTTTAAAACTAGCTTTTATTATTTGTTTTTTTTATTTCTTATCAATACTTTTGTTTATAATCCAAATCTCATCCAAACTCTACATTGAAGTCAATAATACATATATTCTTTTGAATTCACTCTTATTATCAAAATATAAATATTATTTGTATAAAAATATTTGAATTGCATTTTAGTTATTGTCAGTAATGGAGAGAATAGGTGTGAAAAGGATTGGCTTTTATTGTTGGAAACTATTCATTATAAATCAATTCAAGGGATACGAGGTTTGATACATTTTAATTAAACCTAACCTACATTGATAATATTTTAAATTGTATTTTATTTGATATAAAGTTTTTTTATTCAAGTATTGATCTCATAATTTATTTTACAGATTATTTCGCTTACAATTCTGTTATTTTTAAAGCTCACTGAAAACAATTAAATCGTTATTTTAATTAATATTTATGAATATGTACAGTATATGTAATTTTATTAATAACTTATTAACTTTGAATAATTATTGTTATCTAAAATTATTATTAATAATTAACATATGTTTAATATAAATTATGTTTAATAGGATTAAATATTATTATTATTCTTATTATTGATATCAATTAGAATATGTATTAATCAATGTCATTAATTTCCTGAAGTAAATATTATTAAAAATAATTAAATTATTATGGCAAAACTAAACTATATATAAAAGGTAATGGTTTTGAAAAAATTTGGTAAAATATAAAATAAACAAATAAAATAAAATAAACAATTTTTGTTGAAAATAATATTCATTTTAATGGCTTTAAAACATTTTAAATAAACATAATTTCTTATTTGAAATAACTATTAACTTATGTTTTGGAATAATAATATTGCAAATATATAAATTGCCCTGTTACATTCAAAAAGTTGTTTTAAAGATCATTTAACATAATAAAGTATTATTACATATTTTCCACAATATTATTCATATTATCGGTTATTAAACTATAGAAATGTCTAATAATATAGATTTATCGCAACCCATACCCCCTGAATGGCGTGTAACGGGTGCTGACAGTCATCTCTATTCAATCGGTTTATCACTATTTCAACCAAAATCTCATTTCAAAAGGAAATGGTTTTATAATCCATATTTTGGGTGTTTTATAATATTTAGTAATTTAATTAAATATATTATTTTATTCGTTATTAACTACAAAAATATACAGTTTTCACAACTATTTCATGAACGAATGTGTAACGCTGATCATTTATTAGGCACTGGAGTAATATGTACGACCATATTCATTATGGCGGATATATTTTGTATAATGTGTATATTATTAAATTACTACAACTATATGAATGGTATAAAACCCACAGATTTGAGTGTATTTGAAATGATAAGTGGATTCATAGCTCCAAAAAGTATTGGTTTATGCGATAAAGTTATGGTTTTTAAATTATGTCGAAAATTCTCAAAATTAATAAAATTAATTAAATATTTAATATGTTTTATTATTGTGGCAGTAATACTGTGTTTAAACTATTTGTTTAATGTACAAAGCTTAATTCGCTTTACAATACATCTAATAATCAACATAATACCCATGACAATATATATTAATTACATATATAGTATACTTATTTTTCAATTGTTATATTATTATATTGTTGTTTATTATTTGAAATACAAATTAATTTCTATTAACTCATTCATCAAGGAACTTGCACAAAATAACAATAAAAGAAAAAACAATTTGTTTATAATAACAAAAGTAATTAAAGATCTGTATGATATATATTTGGAAATTAATGAATATAACAATAATTATTGGTCTAAATACTTGCTTATTGTTTGGATAACCTTTGGTACGATTATTAGTTTTGCATGTGATTTGGCATTTAGTGGTAATGTTAATATCATTATTAAAGTCGGTTGTATTATTGCTTTTTGTTATTATGGATCAGTACTATTATTTATAATCCAAATCTCATCCAAACTCTACATTGAAGTCAATAATACATATATTTTATTGAATTCACTCTTATTATTAAAATATAAATTTGGAGTTATTTTAAAATTAAAGGTAAAAAACATATTTATAATTCATTTAAATGTAAAATGAAACTGATTACTTCTTAAGTTGAATACTGTACAAATATTTGAATTGCATTTTAGTTATTGTCAGTAATGGAGAGAATAGGTGTGAAAAGGATTGGCTTTTATTGTTGGAAACTATTCATTATAAATGAATTCAAGGGATACGAGGTTTGCATTCATTTTACTAAAGCCTAACCAAAAATTTTAAAATTTAAAATTATATTTTATTTGATGCGTTTATACGAGTATTGATCTCATAATTTATTTTACAGATCATTTCGCTCACAATTCTATTGTATTTAAAGATAAGAGAAAACAATTAAATTGTAATTTTAATTAATATTTATTAATATGTAGATGCTTTTATTAATGTACTTGTATAGCTTTTAACTTTGCATAATACAATATTAGATCTATGTTGAATGTAAATTGACTTTCAATAAACTGATAACAAACGGCAATTGTGCTTGTCACATTTATCAAAAACAAAATACTAATAATTGTTTAATGGTATACCAGTCGTCAGCATAAATAAAATATATTTATTTCATTGCAAATACAATTGAAATTAATATCAATTAAAATACAATAAGTAACTGATTGTGACAACAGGTTGCGATGGCTGACCCCTCACAGCACCAGATGGTCGGGTCTACTGTTGATGGCGTACTCGTTGATGGCATTCCTCTCCCTATCCCTCGTCAGACACCGCTGTTTGATAGCCAACAGTGTCTTCAAGTCGGTCCACATCTTCAGCTGTTTTCGGTGTTGTGTCTCATTCTTCCGGAAATCCATTTGTTGTTGTTTTAGACGCTCTTTCTCTGTCTGCTGAGCATTGAGTTGAC